TAAACTGAACAACTTTTGCCTCAGGGTCACATCGAAATTCGTTTCCAGATTTCAAATAAAAAATAATATACAAAAATGTTTTTTTTTTTTTTTTTTTTTTCGGACGGGCCAGGCAAGTGGGCCCGGGCCACTCTGGTAGCCTAGTGTGCAACGTGTTTATCCCACCAGCGATCACAAAAAGAATTGGGAAAAAAAAAGCTGACCTTTGTTTGTTTTTTTTTATTAAAATACACCTTTTATCCTTTTCTATTTTAAAAAAATAAAAAACAACTTTGAAATGCCAAAAAAAAAATTGGGTTGTAGGTTTTTTTTATAACCCTACAACCCCCTGTTTCTTTTTTTTTGGGCCGTTTATTTTTCAAGATAAAACTTAATTAAAAAACTTGCCCGGCCCCCCCCGCCGACAGGGCCGGTCATGTTACCGACCTCCGGGCGAGTTGGACCCCGCGGTCATGGCCCGGGGGGGGGGGGGAGGGGATTCATAGCCTCCCTTTGCTGACGCGGAAGATGTTTTGCCAATGTGACCGTCCTGCTTACATGAAACTTGTACTGACGTGGACTTGCTGACGTGGAAGTTGTACTGACGTGGACTTTCTGACGTGGAAATTGTGCTGACGTGGACTTGTTGACGTGGAAGTTGTGCTGACGTGGAGCTTCCCTAGGATGTCCTCCCTTCTCACATACGGCAGGAAGCCGTCTGACGTGAGAGCGGGACGTCGAATTTTTGCTGACGTCAAGCTTTCCCATGATCTCTTCCCCCCTGGCATGAGACACAAGCCCTCTGACTGGAAATTGTGCTGACGTGGCAAGTTTCGTTGACGTGGAAGTTTTGCTGACGTGGCAAGTCCGGAACCCGTCTGATGTGAACGGCTGATTTCCAACTTTTGCTGACGTGGAGCTTTCCCATGATCTGTTCCCTCCTCGCATGAGATGAAAGCCGTCTGACGTGGAAGTTGTGCTGATGTGGAAGCTGTGTTGACGTGGAAGTTGTCTTGACGTGGAAGTTTTGCTGACGTGGCACTTCCGTCTGATGCCTTCACTCCACCTTACATGAGGTGGAAGCCGTCTGACGTCAGTGTACCTCCTCTTTCAGGTCCCGGAGTTTCAGAGTAGCCGAATAAGCCCATATCCTTGGTGATTATGTTGAATTGAACGAAGGCAGATCCCGACGACGATACACGTGTCACCTCTCGCCCTTCTCCCATGCTAGGTAGTCTAGGATCAGTGAACTCCGCCGGCATTCCCATGACCCAAGACGTAAATTGCTGCAACAAGGAGGAGGAGACGGGACGGTACAGTCGGACCTTGCGCACGTATCGGCCCGCCTTGATCGGGAGGTGGATACACCCATAACCCCGGATGATATCCCGACCCAAGGCGTCGACCTCGAAGACGCTGAGCACTAACTGCGGCCAACCGAACGGGTTGGTAGACTTGTAGGTTACCTCAATAGGAAAGTTCCAGACCAGTCTCTGCAGGTCAGAGCAGGAGGACTGGCGAGCGATCTGCGTGATCCCGTCCTCGAGGCCATCAACGAGGTGCCAATCATTGCCGCTGACGAGCATGAGCTTGCAGTAGGCATTACGGCAATTAGGTATATCTGCACTTTCCAGCTGGCCTGTACACATAAGCAAGAAATGCGCGGGAATACTCGCGGAACCCGCTGATGCGGCAGCAGCAGCTGCAGCTGCGGCCGCCGCCGCCGCCGCCGTCGCCATTGATGATTAGCTGAAGCGAGGGAGGATAATACTTCGCTTCTTTCCTAGATTGAATTTTGCTTGATTGCTTGCTTGATTGCTTGCTTGATTGCTTGCTTGATTTGCTTGATTTGCTTGATTGCTTGATTGCTTGATTGCTTGCTTGATTCGTTGATTGATTGATTGATCGAGTGCCTGATTTGATGGATTGATTGATTGCCAAAACTGTGGATCAATCGGATTATGATTGGAGTGAAATCGAACATGGCATATGTATCAGGGTTTTCCTCCTTTGTTGTCGTTAAAGGAACTGATGGAAGTTAGGGCGGTAAAAGAGAAATTGATTGCTTGATTGCGATTGATTGCTTGATTGATTGCTTGATTGATTGCGTGATTGATTGATTGATTGATTGGTTGATTGATTGCTTGATTGCTTGATTGCACAATTTTGAAACAACAATTGGTAACCATTCCCCGCCGAATGTGAAGGAGTCAGAAAACGCCGACTGCATCTTTCCACGTTCTTGCATTAGATTCGCGCGCCAGTTAGGCAAATTTTGAGAGCGCTGGTGCTGTGGCTGTGACGACGAGGCCCATTTTCCGCTTTTCGTTCTCGCCGCTGGCACTGGTCCTCAGAATTGGCGGGCTTCAAAAACAAATTAAAAAACAAATTAAAAAACAAATTAAAAAAAAAGTATAAAAAACAAACAAAAAAAAAAACAAAAAAAAAACAAAAAACAAAAAAACGAAAAAACGAAAAACCGAATTGGCGGGCTTGGTGTGCGATCAAAGTGTATCAATTTCCGCACTGGTGTTGTTGGTACGCCAATCTTTCGTGTGCGGCAGTGTGCGGCAGTGTACGGCTACGGGTGGCAAACTATGTGGCTCACGTGTGCGTCGTCGACGTAGCAGACAGAGTAGCGTGCGACATTGCCCCTGGAGCGAGCTGATATTCCTTGGATTCGAATGAGCGGCACTGTTGATGCCGTAGCGTGCGACGGTGTTCCTAACACGTGCGACGAGGTGTCTCAGTAGCGTGCGGCATTGTCACTGGTGGTGGTACTCGTTGGTGTGCGACACCCTGTTGGTGTGGGACGTTGTTTTTTTGGGATCAGGCTTGGCCCTTGAGCGACCCGATGGGGTTGCCTTCCTCGATCGTTGCAGCTCGTGTTCGTGTTCTTGTCCCTCCGGCCAGAGTCTCTGGCGCTAATGGCGATGGAAGAAATCATCCCAACCGCTCGATCAATGGGAGGAGCATTGGCGATCTACCCAGCCGTACAATTTTCGCGATCAATTGTTCAAGGTCGGCTATGGCGTCAGCGGCAACGAATTCCTCCATAGCCAATTCTTCTCCTGCCACGTCAGCAAGCACTTTCACAAGACGAAGCTTTTCCTCCAACTTCACGCCAGTCTTCTCCTTGGACATGGCTTCTTGCACAGTTGCTGGGAGACATCAACTATGTTTGCAGCAGGTTCGCTCTCTCTCTCTCTCTCTCTCTCTCTCTCTCTCTCTCTCCCCTCCGTGGACATTGCTTCTCAGCATCGCTCTGAAGGCGAGCCATGCGCGCGCACGCACACACACACACACACACACACACACACACACACACACACACACACACACACACACACACACACACACACACACACACACACACGCAGCTCCCTCTCTCTCTCTCACACACACACACACAAACACGCACAGATCTCAGTGTCCATCTGCTTTCTGATGTATTCCTTGGTTAGTCTTCATCTTTGCCGTCGTGTTTTGCTTTTCCTTTGACGTCACCATTTTTTTCAATGGAGTGCGTTAGACGGATCATGATGAAAGCTGCACGATTCCAAGTTGGATCCTCTAATCTAAACCAACGACTTCAGGTGCGTATCACTCAGCCAAATGGCGCCATGGTTTTGCGTGCATTGACCGCTCCCTTTGGAGCCGTTGAGGGACCAGTCTCTTTGCAGCTGCGGTACTACCGTAGACTCGCCTCAGTCGCCTGTGTACGGGACCCGGTCCCAGCTGTGGACCAGAGGTGGCCATGGACTTCCGGCCGTAAGGCAGTACTAAGGCAGTGGCACATCTCGAAGCCGTTAGTTACAGCTGCTCCAGAATGGGGTCCCCACGCGGGTGCAGCTCCTTGCCCTTGGTCTGTGGGACCAGGCTCTTGCTCATTCGCTGTGGGACCGGGTCCTGCTATGCTGTGTAATGGGTTGTTACACCTGAATTTTTTTTATTTTATTTTTTTTATTTTTTTTTGGACCATTTTTCGATTTATGGGTGTCATCCTTGCGCATCTTCTCTGTATCGCCCCATTTTTAACGGATGTCCCGAAGGGGCCATGCTGATCTTCTCTGTATCTCTCCAATTTTAACGGATGTCCCGAACGACAGTTACAGCTGAGTTTCACCGAAGGAAAAAAAAGAGAATGGTTTGTGTCATACTTGCAGTGCACCGAGCCTGTGCCTGTGCGGGGCGCGGTGGGATGCACGGATCGGCACCTGGGTGCGCTATGCGACCCCCCTGTGCGCTGGGGCATGCACACAGGCGAGCTGCATGTGCGCCCGGTCCGCGCGGCCTATTGTAGTTATTGATTTATTTTTGGAGGACACCCAAGCCGTTGAAACTGCAGATGTGCTTTTTCTTTTTTTTTCCACCTTTACCTCCACCCAAAAA